GTTATCTTTTTTCTCAGGGTGATTCACAGTGCTTCTCTGCGAAGGAATCAATGTTTTATTGGGATTTCAAAGAAAATATTATACAGATACAATTTTATGAAGTTGTTTACTGAATAGTGACCTGTGCTTTCCACCACATTTTTTAAAACAGGTACAGCAGCCAGCTACACAAAAAATTTGGCTCAAGCTTCCTCATCAAAGTATAAAGACACAGTTTAACGTAATAGATTTGTATCTCTTGTACTGCCAGTCACAATCCACGCCAAGGTCTGCAATATGACTAAATGATTTGGTTAATTTGAATTCAAACAGTGTCAGCTGGGGGTCCACTCCGCGCAGTGGGAGGATTGGTAGAGTAATATCAACACAGTTGTGATTACTCCATTGAAGCAGTAGGGTGCTCCAATCACAGCCGAATCACTCTCCTCATTACAGACTCCAAGGCCAAATCTCAGTGGGTGGACCAGAGAATCAGGCTCTGCATCTTCCTACTGAAATTAATTGAAATTCATGTGTGGCACCCTGATGCTCCCCATCAACACCACACTCATTCACATTTGCACAATCCACCCTGGATTCATTAAGCACACGCACATTCCAAGTTTGAAAGAAAATTAAAGCAGATGCTGTTTTATGGGGTGTGGACCACTGCGTTCAGACCAGCTTATAAAATACAGTTCACAAAATCAGATGCACCTTTTTGGGGAAGGAGAATGATCCCTGAAAGAAAGTAGTACTCTTGAACAGACAGTGGGACTGAAGGTTCTGTGCAACAATAATTTCTTCTGCCAAGGAAGTAGTGCTTTCGTCTTTATTCGTTTGTATGATAGCAGCATAAAACAACTGAACAGATTACCACAAAACTTGGTGGAAGGATGTGGTGGGGAGGGGGATTCATTTTCTTTAATATTGCAAGATAAGGTGATTTTCAACATCGTTATCAATATCCTGCAATATAATTTGTGGATCTTGATGAAAGAAAAAAATCTGACACATTTTCAGGAATGATATCTTTGCGTATGTGCAGTTTGATGTGGCTTGATTGAATTTAAGTTGACTGCTGTTGGGCCTTGGCCTGAGTATGCAGTCTACTGTGTGCCATGATTGTTATATCTAAAATTAATAATGAGTACATCTCATGTATTTCACCAGGTGGTTTTGTTTAAGTCAACAGTTACCAAAGAGTAATTACATTGGTCGTTTTGCCCACGCACATCATTCTACTTGGATACTAACGATTAACATGTTAAAGAAACATAGCTTCGCATACAGTCCTAAATTAAAATAGACTATTTGTGACATGAAACTGCTTAACACACCTTTTACACACTGCAGTCTGTAGCTTTCCTCTTTCCAAAGAAAACCAAATTACTACTCAAGCAAAAAAAACGATTATCTCAAACACATGTAATGCATTTGCCATTAACACTACTACTCCTTAGAAACTATTAAGACACTTCCTCTAGCACTTAACTCACAAATACTGTCCAAACTTGTCAAAGCTCGGTTGCCATTTGTAGATCTGTAGATGTTTCTCACAGACTAATGGGACAATATATAAGCCGCCGGAGCACGGAAGGCATTTGGGAGGCTTCACAACAATCGGTATCAGATAACTTAATAAGATAAGTTCTCTCTTACTTCCTGCCCTGTTGTGTTGTGTGATCCAAATGTCAATCCTTTCACACACTGTAGCGGCTTATGTCTCTGTGTAGGTACAGACCACTGGCTCCCTGGTAGCAAAATTGTGTTTATTGTATTAAAAATATGATTTTTTGGTTAAAGAATGATATTGTTTTGATAATAACTTCCAACTAACCAAAATCTGACTGTGTGAAATAGCTATGTTGTCATTCTTCCAATGCAGTGAAATGTCACTTCAACAAATGAGACTTGTGCATTTCAGAGAGGATATTCAGGCATGTCACAGTAAGACAATTACAAGTGTAAGCATCAATGGCTGAGCTCAATGCAGATGATTACATTTCAGGCTGCTTGTATTGTGCATATAGATTAACCAGCAACTAAACAGTTAGTTGGTACACTTAAACAGATAGATTCTTTATTTGTACTCGTAGGCAAACTTTGCAGCAATAATCACAGGCTTTTCCACAATCACAAACATCAGACATAGCCAGAACTAACACTCTCACTTACATTCAAGCAGCTCTGGAGTGACAGAGGTGGATATTTGGTCCAGACCAACTGGATATTCACATTTTCGTTTGTTTAAAAACTTAACAGCTTGTGGAATAAATGACATTTTGTATTTGTTCTGGTAAATAGATTGGGGGAATTTGTAAATAGCTGGAGGCCAGAGCATGCCTCTCATCACCCACAATGACCCTTGTCCCATACTTGGTCATGTAAATGCCTTCAGTTTACTGGCTGCTGTGACTGTGTATCAGATGGGCTTCATTAGCATTACCAAACCAGCAGATGAGACAGATCATCACAACACTTTCAATAACAGCACAATAAAACAGGTGAAGCACTTGGAAATGCACATTAAATGATGGCACTTTCTCACAGAGGAATTATTAATGTAATTAGTGAGACATATGCTTTTCCTTGATGAAAGCATCTGCTGTTAAAAGATCCTACTTATACCCTCCAGTCACACACAACACAAACATCTCAACACAAACTTTGTCAACACTTACCCTTGTTTTTCGTGCTTTAACCCGTTTACACTTCAGCTTTGAAGAGAATCCTCTCCCTGTCGGCTATGAAGACAAATTAGTTTAGCCAAACAAGATTGGAAGCAGGAAGTTGTCTTGCTCTTAGCTTGGGAGCAAAACAAGCATTACCAAATTAAAGTTTACCTTTTTCTTTTGACTTACAGATTCCTAAGTGCAAGGAGATGGTGTGTTTGTTGGTTTTACAGCAGACAAACATGGTAGCCGAGCAACTTCAACGTAAATGTAAAAGAAGAATTACACAGGGATCAATGGTCTGCTCCTTTTAGCATTTTGAGCTAACAGTCCGGTCAGCAGGTGGCGTCAATTAACTCCATGCTGCGTTCATACATCCCTCGTACGATTCATAACCGAGGGGAAGCAACTAGATAAATCAAAATGCGTGTTGTATGTCAGTTAAGATACGAAATTAAAGTTTGGATTGTGTTTCACATTGTTGGTTTGTTCATGTGACCTGTCAAGTCTCAGAACAATTCACTTCAATGCTTAAAAAAAGCTTTGAGGCCCCGCCCCAGTTCATCTGGGGCTTCAACCTTCAGTCAGTGAGATAATAGGGATATTTTCCGGACGCGCCTTGAACGCAGCACTGCAGTCCTGTGGGGCTTCTGATTGTTTTGGACGCTGCAGAGTTCAAACTGTGAGAGAGAAGAACAACCTGCCAACAACAACCTGCATGTAAGTCTGCTATATTGTATTATTTGTTTTATTAAATATATGTATTAGTTATTAATTTCCAAATAAAATAAAATTGTTTCTGTGCTTCTCTGTGCTAATAAGTTGTGAGAATAAACAAAAACATATAAATATGTAATCAGAGTTATAGGGTAATGTATTTTAAGTCCCATTCAGAACATGTATTCAGATGCTCTGTTGTTTCTAGCTGACACTGTAGTGTGTGTGTGTGTGTGTTTGTCCTCAGACCATGTCTTCTAGGAAAACAGTGACAAGTGCTTCAAGCAGCTTTTCCATGCACTCCATCAGGAACCTGTTAGTACTCTCCTCTCTGTGTCATGTCATATCTGCAAACACTGACAGAGAGAGAGCACACACCTTGATGACCGAAAATCCTCTTATTGATGGGTAAAACCTTTTTGATGTTATCTCTACAAGAGTCACATTGGTGGAAATAAATGTCTTGAATCAGATTAAAATGCATCTCCATCCTGTCTCTCCCACTTCTCATGCCCTCATATGTTAGTCATAATGACATCGCTTTTCAGCTGAGGATAGGTTACAACAGTTCCCTGAATAAAATTGACCTTCATGATGTCAGCAAACTGAGCACCGACATCAATCGTCTCCAAGCAGGCCATGTTCAGACACAGGTATTATCCTAATAAGGGATTTCTGGCCCAGAATGGTAGTCAGGCCGGTAACTCAAATGTCTCTTTCTCTCTCTTCCTTGGGAAGATGTTCGCAGCCTTTGTGTTCTGTACGACCCAAGAAAAGGACGCCGTGAGACTGACACTGGAACAAGTGGATTTGATCAGACGCATGTGCACTGAGTACGATGAGTTTAAGTTGGTCACATCTTCCGAAGGTATTGTACAAATCCACAAACATTGTTTGAGACAAATCTCTCAATTGCAACTAATTATGTATGATTTGCCATGTACTGTGGGCTTTTTTTTTGTTTCCGCCCATAATTTAAATGTGTATTATCCCAAATGGCTTATTTACAGACCATAATTTGAGAGAGGGAATGGAAATTAAAGTGATCTGTTCATCATAATGAAAAGTTAAAACACAAAAACAAACTGTGGTACATTTTCAAAAGATTCAGAATTCTTTGTTTGACTTTTTTTGCACATTTTACTGGCTTGTACTAAATATTAGGTTTTATCTGAATGAATGACAATGAAATCTTGAGACAGCTTCTGACTGTCGGATTGAACTGAGGCATTTATGTCATACAATGTGTTGTCTGTCACTGCAGAACTGAAAAAAGCTAAAATGGACAATAAGACAGCGTGTCTCATAAGCGTTGAGGGGGGGCACTCCATCGACAGCAGCCTGCAAACTCTGCGGATGTTTTACCAACTTGGGGTCCGGTCCATGACCATCACACATAACTGCAATACACCCTGGTAATTAATTTAAAATGAATTTATTTTCAATGTAATATTTATACTAGACAAATACTTTTTTGCTGGTAAGATTTAGTTTAGGACGCAGTTCTTTACCAGATTGACTGAATCAAATGGTCAAACGTATTTACTGTATATTATTTTCCGTCTATGCAAAATAACCTATATTTGTACTTTCTCTGGAATGCGACAGTGTGTGTCACTGAATGTGCCCCAGGTGAATGAGGAATACAGACACACCTACAAATGCCCTTAACATGGCAACATGTTTTTATATTTCACACCTTCTGATTGTCATGATTTGTGGTTTTAATAAAAAAAATGTCTCAATGCAGGGCAAAGGCAGCTGTACAAGAATATAAGTTTTATCAAAGTGGGACTGAGAACCTGACAAGCTTTGGGAAGGTAAGTTCAATCTTCAGTCATATCAACTGCAGAATTGTTTCATTCATCATGTTCCACAATACAGGAAGTGTCAGTTCATTTTGGGTTTTGTGTCATCAGAACATAAAGTAACTGAATATGTAAGATGGATGTTTTATTTAAAATGAAAAACCATTCGATAAACATGACAGTTGGAGTTGCGGTGTGTAGAATTTAGTGACATCTAGTGGTGAAGGTGCATGTTGCAGCTGAATACTCCTCACCTCAACCTCCCCTTCCAAACATGAGAGAGAACCTGTGGCAGCCTTCAGTTGTCATAAAACTCAAAGGGTTTTTAGTTTGTCCAGTTTGGATGACTGTAAAAACTTGGCGTCTCCCACAGAGAGGACCTGCTCCTGATGTGAATATAAAGTATTTCAATAAGGGCCCAGTCTAGGATAAAGAAAAGAAGAATTCATACAATTTAGATGAAACACACCAGTGAAAACATCACAAGGATTATTTTATATTCCATTTCTGCCAATACATCCCTGTCACCTAAATCTTACACACTGAACCTTTAATGTTAATGAATGATTGCTGTCAACTAGCCACTCAACATTTTAGAGCTAGAGTCTGTTTCATGTGTGTTTGTTATATTGTATTGCCCAATTATTATTATTACTATTTTACTATTATTATATCATTAAGCTTTTAGACACCTCAGTAATGGACTGCGCTGAACAGACTGGACCTTGTTATCGTTAGTTTGTTAATGCTATGCAAATTAAATTAAGAGGCACAGCTGTTATCCAAATTAGATTTAAGATAACACATAATATAAACTGCTTCTTTTGAATAGACAGCTTTATAATGCATCTCCTCTTCAGTTGCCTCTTCCTTGTAGGACTTCCTTGATCGCTGTCTTGTTTCCTGAGTGTTTCTGTGCATGTGCATGTGTGACAGTTGCCTCAGTGTTGGCTGAATTGATGCCCTTCCTTCCCATGATACTGTGATTGGTTGATTTAGTGGTTTTTGGATGTGTTTTTCCAAGGCTGTGGTGGAGGAGATGAACAGACTGGGGATGATAGTGGACATCTCCCACACTTCTTCGTTCACAGCCTTGGCTGTGCTGAACCACACCAAGGCTCCTGTTATTTTCAGCCATTCGTCCTCCCAAGCCATCTGTAATCACGATCGCAATGTACCTGACTGGCTGCTGCTCGAGCTGGTGAGCAAACCAAATTACTGATTAATTGTTTGCCTGCTCATCAACTCACTGATCATTTATTTAATTCTACTTTTATTCACACCAGCCGCAACGTTATTACATGGATACTCAGTTTAGTGACGGGATGACAAAATCTAGCTACTAACATATAAACACATGCCAAAGTAGTCAAAACCATCTCTGTAGTATTTCCTGCTAAACACAAACTCATACTTTATGTTGTGTCTCTGTGACTTCAGAAGACATTACATTGACCCACATTTCCTGAATTATTGGGGGGCAACAAGTCCCTATAACGCAGCTGTGTAAATAGATTTAAATCCCCACAACATTAGTAATTACAAACACACACACACTCACAAGGTGAAAACAATACCAGCCACGCTGCCACCACTGGTGAATATTTTCAGTGATCTTAACCGCATCTTTACCAGCACAGCTAAAGAAGGAATATGAGATGGAAATGTAGGTTCTTTGTGTGTGAAAATATATTTATACACAGTTTGTCCCATGAGTTGTGTGTGTTGTGTTTCAGAAAAAGAACAGAGGGTTGATTATGGTGAATTTCTACAACAGATTCATTTCCTGTGGAGCCGAGGCTAACATCTCTAATGTGGCTGGTGAGGCATCTGTTTTGAACTTTAAATCTGGAATTTGGAGTTTCTCAGTGATTATTTATTATGTGTTTTACAGACCATTTTGATCACATTAAGAAGGTGATTGGAGCTGAGTCGATCGGAATAGGGGCGGACTATGAAGGCGTCACAGAGTAAGAATTACTCCCTTGCAAATTGTCATTGCAGTTTTAGTGCCTCTAGGTATTCTAAAACCCAGTTGAAGGATAAGATTTAAAAAAACATCAACTTGCATATGCACACAAAGAAACCAAACAAAGCCTGGTAAGCACACTTGTACTCTCCTGACATGTTTTGGAGGGTGTTCATGAACCAGCCTGTCTTCATACCAACAATTCGGCTGTCTCAGCAGTCAGCTGACTGAAAATTAATTTGATTGATTCCCTACATGCAGGCATCATCAGTTCCAAAAATCAATGTCACAAAGCAAATAATAAAAGGCTTGAAGTGTTTATTGTTGTAATTGGTAACTAGTATTTACTTACACACACACTACTCGTTTTTAGTGATGTCAGTTGCAAAATAAATATTTGTGAATTTGTTTTTGCAGATTACCCAAGGGGCTAGAGGATGTGTCCAAGTATCCTGCCCTGATCCAGGAACTGCTGCGGAGGAACTGGACAGAGGGCGAATTGGCTGGTGTCCTCAGAAAGAATTTCCTGCGGGTTTTTGAGGAGGTGGAGCGGGTGAGCTGGAAGATTAATATACTGTATTCTCTTGTCAAATATAAAGCTTTCCTGGATTAATAAATAGTAGGAAGATTCATGTCCCAAAAGTTCAGCTATAGAAAATGAGTAAAGGATGTATGTGAAATATTGGACTTGTTATCAGTTTATTTTATTATGCCTCCACACACATTATGTCCGTTTTTTGTGAACACTGTATCACTGAGGGAATTTTTTCAAATTTGGTTCAAATATTAAGTTGTACAGAAGAACATTCACTTGGACCTAAGGACAACCTGATTAGATTTTGGAGGTCAAAGGTCAAGGTCACTGTCACCTCAGGTTATTTTACAAAAACCTCGACCGAATCCTTTCAAACGTAGACTCATTCAATAACTTGATTCGATTTTATGATCAAAATTTAAGGCTAAGATCACAATGACCTAACAAAACAAGTTTGCTTTTAAGAAATGTCTTCAGTTTGACCAGTTCTCACTTGGACTAAACGATGAACTGATTAGATTTCTGTGGTAAAAGTTCAAAGGCCACAGCGACCTCATATTTTTGTTAATGCATTATACCAGGGAAAACTGAAACTGCAGTTTGTCAGAGGCACAAACCCAGGGCAGTAATATGTCTCTGTCTGGACACTCACCGCCTTTAAGAATTTGTGGCCACTTTTTGAAAAAACTCCCTCTTTGTCAAAATAACATTTTCAGATTCAACAGTTATCGTTTTCGGCCTCCTGAGATTGACTGAATAATAATGAACATCCAACAGATGAAATTATTGTTTTTTTACAGTTTATGAGACGTTGTCAACAGCACAGACCAATTCAAAAGTTGACTCATTTCAAATGTCACCTCCCTTTTTTGTCTCTCTGTATTTTCCTCCAGGTGCGTAATAACTTAAGTCACAAGTCACCCAGTGAGATCCCGATTCCCGAGGAGATGGTCCAGAACCCCTGCAGACTAGGCTTTAAGCTTCCTGAGAATCAAATACAGAAGACTAGCTCCTCCAGAGCCCAACAAGGAGCTGCAGATCTGCTGATCCTGGCTACTGTTCTGCTGCTTTCCAGCATATTTATGATTGATTGAATATTGAAAAATGCACTTCAGCCAAAGATGGAACTTTATTATTCAAAGTTGTTTTCAATTTGTAGTTTTTGTCTTTGCTTGTGAAAGTTGACCAATAATGTGACTGGAGGTGGGGTCACTATGCTGGGAATAATTATGGTAAAATGTTTAGTTATGTGAAAAGTTACATGATTTATTGCTGAAACGGTATCGAAGGCTTCAACAAAGCAGTCAAGGCGAAGTGTAACATTATGCACCCTCAGTGCAGTGTGTATTTTAGTTGTTTGGCCAAGCAGACAACTGCCCTGTCTTTTTTCATTGAACTTAGAAATGGTTAAAACCAGATCTTTAACTCAGATGAGCAGTTACTCAGAGCCTGATGCCCTGCTTTCTATAAGATTCAGAATAAACATTGTGTTGAAAACAAAGTTGATGAGACTTTGCTGTGTTGAGCTTATTTTGATATTTTATATATATAACGTCCACAACATGTGCATGATTTTCAGATAAGCACATAGCTGTGATGTAACAGTGTCATTGTGCTTCAAACCTGAAGATTAGCTGCTTCTCTAAAGTACTGCCAACATATAGTAAGTCTCATTCAAAGAATTGTGATGTGGGATAATCAGCTTTATCCTTAAAAAGGTTTTTGTTATAGAGACCATGAGCGTTCTTGTTAGAATTTAATGTCTTTAATTACTGCACACCTTGTCATGGGTTATCCATTACATATTAAACACCCTCGTTGACTTGTACCATAGACTGTATTTGAAAATGGATGACAACATGTTAATGATAACCTTTGTTAGTGGACAGGACACATCAAAAATGATTTTAGGAGTTTCTTACCACACTGAAAACACTAGTTTGTTTTTAATTGGATGCTATAAAAATGGGATCAAATGTTACGATTGGTGGTTGAAACGGATTCACAATTGGTTGTTCGTGTATCGGTGGGACCTCACTACCACCAATTATATCCAGAGAAAATGGAGACGCATGGTCCGTATGTAAATACAGTACCTGCAGTTTATTTAGTCCAATTGTATTGAAACAGTTTTCACTCTGAATGCTGGTCTGAAATACTGATCATACTCTACTGCCTATAAAAAGACATGAAACACAAACATGTGGTCTGATAATCTCATGTAGCTGAGAACAGAATTTCTTAATAGTTGTAATACTTCAATTTCAGTGCTGGTTGACTAGACGACACCAATTGTTACTGTGGTAAAATCGAATGTGGTTTAATACTACAGGCAATGCTCCTGAAGCTGGTACCTTGTCGGACATAAAACAGAACAGTAACTGGCACATCCGGATACACAACAACCCCACAAACTAACTTACAGAATGTGAACACATTATGGCAATTGCAGGAAAAAAAAAAAAAAATTGTGTCGAAATGTTTTCGATTTCATGATAATCTAAAGGATTATAACTTGCTTGTGTTGCCTTCTTTATTATGTGCAGATAAGCTTTAGCGATACAGTAGAAAAAGTACAAATGTAACAGTAACGGAGAACATTCCTTTCTTATCAAAAAGACAAATATCTGTCCAAAAGTCATAAATTATAACTCTATAAAAACTTGCTTATGATCTCTGCCATCCACATTTACAAACTGGACTTTGTGCCACCAACACAACATAAGCAACGTCGAGAAGAATGTTATTTGTATTTATAGTAATATTTTCTTTTACCTCAGTGGGGACGTATTGAAAAAAATAAATAAATAAATACAAATGTGCTTCCAAAATAATCAAGAGGTGGTTCATTTTCACATATAAAGAGGTATTTGTTACCTCTAAATAGGAAAATCGTAACTTTAACATTTAACAGTCTGACAAAAAAATATTCGGAATTTATGAAGAGATGGCAAAGCCGTGAACATATTGGACAGTTATGGAAACAAATCTGTCCCAATATTCTACAAGAATAGAATAAACTTCTTTTGTACTCAGAAGCCCATACTTCAGAAAATAAGTCAAATCGATGCATCTACCAACATCTGTCTGACAGCTGTGCGTGTACTGCCTTGCGTCCAGATGGGGGATGTATTGTGATGAGTCTGCGGCCCCAGTCAGCAGCTCCTACTTGGTCATGAGTAGATAGTTATGACCTCCCGACCGCCGCCTCTCACCAGCAGCACTCTCTCCAAGCCTTCAGTCAACACCTCCAAAAACTCCATATCTGAGGAAGCAGTTAAGGAAGTAAAAACCAAACAAACAATATTCTAGTGTAGCCCATCATCTTTTACAAAACTACGCCCAACCCTTGGGAGACTATGGCTCAGGAGTTCAAAAGGGTTTTCCGCTAACCAGGAGGTCGGCAGTGTGATCTCAGTCTCCCCAATGCCATGTGCCGGAGTGTCCTTGGGCAAGATACTGAAACTCAACTTGCCCCCGTCAGCTGTGCTGCTAGTGTGTGAATGATGTGTGATTGAGTGAATAGCAAAACTGTAGTGTAAAGAGCTTTGAGTGGTCATCAAGACTAGAAAAGCATTATATTATATTATAAATGCAGCCAATTAGATTTTTGTTTTATCATATTAGCAAAGGATACAGTTCTCATCTCCGTCCGTGTCACGTGGCGGCCCCGGCATGTTGAGCAGCACTAATCGAGCATCATGGGACCTGTTGACTATCACCTCATTGAGCTTCACAGCTGTGTGCATTCGTCGCACATTGGACTGATCCCTGGAGGGCAGACAGAGGGAGAGACAGAGTCAACTTTTCAGCATTATGTATAAACAAGCACTCACTTTGTTAAAACTAAGAAAATATTCTACAAGTGAATGGGAAAACTAGGCAAGCGGCTCATTAACTCACGGCTTGAGGCTCATGAGTTCTCTGAAGTTCTCAGGGGCGTTGCTCCTGTTCCTTCTCTCAGCTTCACACTTCTCCCTCGTCCACGTCATCTGAACCTTCTCTGGAGGAGCCTCCACCACCTCCTCCTCCTCATCTGAATACAGACTTCCCATTCGCACTAGAGAGTGTCTGTCTTTTACCAGCTGGGCCTGCAGGGGTTGATGGGAATATTATGTGGCTTAGTTGTCAATACACTGTATGAACCCAACACTAATATCTATAATAGAGTTAATGCTGAGCAGGTTACATTTAGTTACCCACCTCTCTTTGTCTCTCTGCACTGGACAACCTCATCTGCCTCAACATCTGGGACCTCTGCTCCATCATTAACGTTCGCTCGTAGGTGTACGCTGAGATGTCACTGTCGTGCTGAAATGCCATTTGATAAACATAATTTCGGTGGTTAATATAACTGAAACATATTAGTCTGTTCACATGGACAGTGTTGCAGTATGAGTATGAAAATTCAGGTTCAAATATCTGAAACAAGCACATTTGAAGCATCCTGTGGAAATCAACTGATTTCTGGTTTTAGTTGAAATTCTTATAACTGAGTTAAAACGTAATTTATTGTTTTGGTCAAGAGCCAAAAATATATCTTCCCTTTTACTGAACTGAGTACAGGTGTGTAAGAGGAGCCCTCACCATCTCCACCACCTCCACCTCAGCCTCGATTCTAAGCTGGTAAAGAAACGTGGCCAGATCTTTTTTCATCTGGATACTGTTGTCGTCCATCTGAGCCACAGTGAAGATGCGCATCATGCATTTCCTCCACACCTAAAATATAAAAAAAACCATGTTGGTTTGACACAGCTGTGATACTATGACGTGCATTATTGAATACATGCAAGTATAATTACCTACTGCAGAATATAAGTTTAAAAAAGCAGATTTCTTCAAAATGGAAAGCTCAAAACTAACAGACTGTTCAAAAAGTATGTGAGCTTATGAACTGAAATTCACAATTTATATGCTTCAACAAGCAAAAATTTAACAAACCACTTGGTAAAAGTACATTTACAAATTCTAAAGTAGTTTATTAAAAAGCTAAAAGTAGTTTATTGGGAAAATTCAGGAAACACAGTCATCTCACTTTGTGCTGTTTTAGCAGGAAAGGCAGCAGCATTAGCATCCCTCCATCATGGACAATCCACCACACATCAATGCTGCCTTCTGTGAAGCGCTCATGGTTGCTCGGGTAGAAAGAGACATTTTTGGGCACCATCAGAGCAAGGTGGGCAGCTGTGGTGCAGCGGACTGTGTCTACATAGAGAGGAACATGGCAGAGACAGTAGTATTTTGTTTATATACTGGAACGTATAGATGAAAACTCATGCTGCGTCTCAAATCTAATTATTGAGTGAGTACACTCTTGAACACTGTTATGTGTTTTCAACAGGTTAGTGTTGGAACACAAAACTTAAGACACATTGTATTTTTTTCATCCAGAAAGTATATTCACATGAGATCTTTCAGTCCAATGGTGGCTTTGACTACAAGTTTGGAATATTGAGGTTGTTAAAACATTAGCATATAAACATAAAATATGCACTTTCAGTCCAGTAAACATTGTGCAGTCAAAGCTTGATTTTGATAGCGGCCACTGACTGGCAGCTTACCTTGTAACATCCATGGTGATGCATAGATGCCTAGTGTTACCTCGATATAGATACCAGGACTAGTCATATAGACCCTTTAGTTGAAGAGATACACTCCATTCATTTGGAGAATGTTATTATCGAGCAGGAGCCTGAGAAAAGTGCCGTATTGCAAATGCCGATTTTGGCATTCAGGTACTATATCATGTCAGTATTATTACTGCGAGACTTACTGATAAAAGTTTTCCAGGCTCGAGGGTCCTCACTCTGTCTCCAGCCGTAGGGCCAGCCCATCACCACAGTGTTGTGCATCATGCCTCCTAGACCACAGGACTGGATCAGGTGCACAATGCCCTCACGCACCTTGGATGCCACCACGACCTGGCAGAAACCCTTGACCCGTTCAATCTCCATCATATTCTTTATAGCCTGGCAAAAAAAAGGTGGTTAGACTGAACATTAGTCCACGATCACAACAATATGTAGGTGGACATATTAAACAGTTATAAAGGATATACACATAATGCTTTTAAATGCCTAACATCAGACTCTAAACTGTTCTCCATCTTTGTTAAATCTAATTATAGTGACACTTGGCTCACAGTGAGTTTCAGATGAGTGCCTCTTTCAGCACATTTAACTAGCAGAAGTGATCCCTCTCTAGGTTTTACCTGTTCAGCTGCCTGCATCTCCCCATAGCTTTCCAGGAAGTTGCCCTGAACAACAGAGCCCACAATGGTCAGACCCTTTCCTGCCTTCAGCTGCGATGCAAAGGTGAGCAGTCGGGGGTATTTTACATGGAGGTCCTCATCCAGCTTCAGCAGCACCAACAGCTGCGGTCTGCAGAGGAGTGAGGTGTGGGTCACAGAGTAAATATGAGACAAAGGCCCAGGTCAATGATTCAGGTTTGCAAATACTTTTGTCGAAATACAGAAAAAAAGCATTTCATTTGATGCAGTGCAGGAAGCATAGATCCAAAGATATTCAGCTATCAAAAAAAGACAAACAAAATATAGTCACTGTCCATTGAGGAACTGATGAAATGATGAGTTTCTGTCTGCTTGTGTACACATTCATTACATACACATATTAGTTATGCTAGTTTTATCAGTTAACAATATCTAATAAGTATATATAATGAATTTGTACACAATTAATACTTCTGAAAATACTTACATTCTGCTATTTTTTGTAAAATACCTGGAGGGTCAATAAAAAACAAAACAAAAGAGCAAAACATAATCTTGCTTTAAAAGATGAAATCTGATGTCCACACATCTTGGTTACATGTTACTGCTTCTATAGCATTTAAGTGACATTAATGTGTAAGTTTGTTAAACTGACCATGTGAGATACAGTCATATAATAATGTCAGTGAGTCCTCTTGTGAATGAACACACATATGTGAAAACACCTTCTACATCCCAACATGCCACTTGGCTCCTCAAAAACATTTGTGACATTCCGAGCATCTCCTGGAGGTGTAGCCGTACCTCCAGTTCTTGGTGTGCGGGGGTCCGACCTCCAGCCTCAGCAGGGCGTAGCGTGCGGCACTAAGAGACAGTCCTCTGATACCATCGCCCCACTCCTTCTCTGCTCTGTTATTGTTTTCAGTGAGAGAGACAGGAAGTGACGCTGATGTGGGAAAACATTAACTCAAAGTGGTCTTTTCTCAACCAGTGCTCCTCCAGAAATGCCAATGTCCTTGTACATATCAGAATCCACTGTAAGTTAAAGGCACATACCCCTGGTACTCAATGTATTTGTAGATCATCCCAGCGATGAACATGGCCACGATGGCGTAATACCAGGAAGAGATGAACATTAGAGCCAGACACATGCTCATGCCAAGGAAGGACAGAGCCCTGTGTGTGCATACCCAGAGCAGTAACATTATTTACATGTATGCACTGGTTTCATGAAGGTAATTGTAACATAGCTGAAAAGTTGGTCATTTGAATTCCTGACAGCCAGGAGAATTTAGGTATGGTGGAGATAGACCTGCACTCACCAGTGGTAATATTTAAACCTCGGCCTCCAGTTTGGCGTGCGTAACAGAGTCTGAACTGCACAGGCTAAGTTCACAAAGAGATAGCACATCAAGAAGAACCTGTTGAATAAACACAAAGAGGGTTTCACACAAGTTTGAAGTAGATATTCATATCATCAAAATGGCACATTATGAAATTCATGTCATATTTATTTGGCCTGTGTGCGTGTATGTGGGATTACATGGAAAGAATAGGAGCCACCATATCCAGCGAGGCGATGAGGATACCCAGCTCTGCTATGAGCCCAGTCAGCAGCAGTGCCCATGTCGGCTCTCCGTTAGTCTTTCCGTGACCAAAAACCTAAAACAAAACATGCAACATGCTTTACATGCTGCAATGCAAATCACCTTTTGTATTCTACATCTCTTTGTATTATACATCTGAATAATGCCTGCATGCAAAAAATACTTACCTGGACAACAAGCTGCATAGATTGTAACTTACCATATTCAAATCAAAAAAAGAACAGTGCACACTGTTGATCACGCAATTCCACAGTGTTAACTCACCCTGAGGAAAGGAATGATGTTGTCCTTGGCAATAGCCTGTAGAAGACGGGGAGCTCCAGTGAGGGACTGCAGGCCGGCCCCGACCGTGGAAAAGAAGGAACCGATCACAATAACCCACGGAGACGGCCAAGACAGGGTCCCCACCACCAGGTTTTTTCTCACAGCGTCCCCAAATCTGCAAGGAGTAATTTTACCATCGTTACATTTTACTTCTCACAAAACGTGGCTTGATAATCCTTGTAAACTACAGTAGAACCGAAATGAACTTACTTGTCCCTTAGGACTACTCCCTCAATACAAGACCCAAACAGGACAACAGAACTAAAATCTGAATAGAAAAGGTCAAGGAGCTGTAAATGTGATAAATAAATAAATAAAGATGTAACTCAAATCAGTTTTCTACTCTTGTCTTATTGTGGTCACTGAAATAAGGATACAAACAAGTGATGTAGTGGTGATGGCTAAAATAGTTCCCACAGGAATGGACTTCTGAGCATCCCGCAGATCACCAGATCTGTTAGAGCCTGCCATGATACCTACAAGAAAATAAAGACAGAAATTGTTAAATGATGCCCCCTGCTGGCTGGATCTTTGCACCTGCACATCAATTTCACTTAGTATTTATTACCTTATGTAAAAATTACATTTATTGGTTTATCACACTGAATAAACAAATATATGGGTCTATCTTATAGTTTACAGCTTTATCAGGTCAAACACAGTATTTACACTCAAGCTGTTACAACAATAATACTTAAAACTGTTTTGTAAGTAATAATGTTGTCATTATACCTGTGGCAGATGGGAAGAAGATCCCCACCAGAAGTGTGAATGATGTAGCGATGTCTGCTGACGCATACATGCCAAAGTTGTCCATGGTGCCATGGGCGTCCACTGAATGAAGCCCCGCTTTCTCTAAGATCTGTCCTTTCTGCAGGTAGTTGCCCCACATGTTATCTAACAGTAAAAAAAAAAACAATGGAGGTGAATGGCATCAAATCGCTCAACATGTGTAATCATGAAGCAAAGATAAGATTTGGCCATTTTATTTCCAGAAGTTACAGACAACCCATTGAGTCAAAATATTGATTATTGATTATCAAAAATATGACAAATTGCGGCACAGTGTGTTATATGTCTGTAGTCTACTACTGTATCCTACCTCTAGTTTGAAACTTTTATTGCAGCAGCAGAATATAGCTAAGAGTTTGGCATCTAGGCTCCATTGAATTCATCACTTCCCCAGATGTGATTACACATATAATTATATTAGTATAATGGGGAGTGATGAGCAAATATCTTTAACCCGCCTGTCGCAGCCTACAGGCGGACACTGGGGTGGTGGAGGAGATAAAATCGACAGGCAGCACTACTGAGGCAGGGCAGCAGAGGCAGGGTGTGTAATATTTACAGTTGTGGAGGGTGAGGCATGTCATAGGACAGTTTGCTGCCTGAACTAGCTCACAAGATTCGCTCCATTAATTATATACATATATATACTAGTCCATTTACCACTGATAATCCCGCTACCCAGTCCGGGGATGCCCTGTATCTCTGTCACATTGTTCTGGATGAAGTAGTCATCACACTGAGCGCTGCTCATGTTCTCGGCCAAGCAGAACCTGTGCCACAGCTGACTGGGCACGCTGATGTTGCCCTCCATCACGGTCTTAGCGCACACGTCGAAGCGATCTCTCACCAAAGTCCTGTTTCCTAACATGCAGATCCTGCAACGATGACATGGACGAAAGGAGGAAATGTTTCTTTAGCCAAAATTAATTCCATCATCATCATCATCATCATATAACTCTCCACAATCACAACCAATGGTTAATTTACACACACTGCTATTGTTTTAAATAAATCCACAATCCATATATTGGATTGTAATAGAGAAGTTATACTTGAAGATACAATAATATTAGTAAAGACAATGCTATCACTAATAATACAAATATGAAAAAGATACATTTAGTTTGTAGAGTGAAACAATTATTTCTTCAAAATGAATGCTCTCACCACCATAAATCTTTGTTAAGTTTCCAATAATTCACAGACACATTTTGTTCAAACACACCTCCCCTGCAGACTTACGAGAATTCTGGCGGATGAGTCATGGATTTGATTGCCCCGGCGTAGATAGAGACAATTGAGATAATGACACAGGCCAGGAAAAGAGAGGCCAATTTGTTGACATATTTGACTCCCACAAAAACCACCACAGCCATCAGGGTGAGGCAGATGGAACCGTAGACTCGCATGTTGTTCAGCATGGCACTGTCACCCCCAAGGGGGTCTGTTGCATGAAAGATGGCCGCCTGGGGGAACAGATATTTCTACATGTAGAAAAAAAAACAGAAGATTTAAGTTAATGCATGTGTGTGCGTATGTATATATCCATACAACTTGACCTGGAATGACACAATGAAGTAAGACTTTAACACACTGACCAAGAAGATTTCAATGGCACCCAGTATGTACATGGCAGAAGCAAAGGTGGTGCCCAGGTAGAAGCACAGTCCCACAGCTCCTCCGAACTCTGGGCCGAGGGAACGTGAGATCATGAAATAAGCTCCTCCAGCTACAAAAAAAAAACCAATCTGTTAGATACAGGAAGCCACTGAAAATGTCAAGTTTATAACTGCATGCATTGCATTCAGCAATGAGTTTCTGCTGCCCCCAAGTGGAAGAATGTGAAAATAGAAACTATAACATCTTATTTTTGCAGAGCAGATATGATGGAAGTGAAGATGCGAAGTAGTTATCTGAAAAACTCAGATTACTTAGTTCTGTATTCATTTTTGGCAAAAACAAGCAAAAAGACTATTGAACAGTATTTGTGGAAATTATACAATAGGTGCATGATAATTGTAACATAATTTTGTAATCTTTTTTTTAAGTATTTCTGTCTTGTTTTCTTTTTTGTTATTTTCCCCATTTCCTAGAATTCTAACTACTCTTATTATCCATATTATACACAGGTTGTCCCTGCGCAGCAACCAAGGGTTGTGAAGTAAAACAGTAAAAACTGAAAAAGCACTGTAGTATTTTTTCTACACGTGTACAACATATTGCTGCATTTTCTTTAATAAAGCGTTGTTTTAAAAAGGATAAATGTAAGACGAGGGGTTAATACAGAACAGGTCCCAAGAATTACCTGGAACGACACCATTAGTAGCAATGGCACTCATTGATATGGCTGTGAGCATTGTCTGTGAAGAAAAGAGTTAAATATAAGACATTTGGAAAATGACACAAATGCGGACGTCATTGCAACTTGTGGGTGTAACGTTAATTTACAGTGATCAAGCTGAGGCCGAGCCCAGCTTCTATCTAAAAGAAGACACATTTAGCATAAGTAGCTTTAGGTGATGAGAGACCACTGGGTGAAGAAAACACAAGTCAAAAGCACATTCTTTTGCCTTAAACAGAGTCCCTGCTGCTGCTTGTGCAACAGTGTGGATTCTATTGACTGATTTGGCAATAAAAGCTGGCTCTTGTCCCACATTGTTGGTGGCGGAACGTGTGTGTGCGTGTGCGTACAGCATGTGTGCGCATACTAACACAGGAGCAGCACATGAGAACGATCAGGAGGGACTGCATGATGCCAGCCATCCCGACGATCCACGTCAGCCGGAGAAAGAGAATGACACCGAAGATGTTCTGGAGACACGGCAGGTAGACTCCCATCAGGGTGCCCATGTTGGGGGACTGATGGAAAGACAGAGGGGGAGGGGGAGAGAGAGAGAGTATTGAGCATGACATTTCCAGAAACAAGTGTATCGATCATTAGCATTGATTGATGTACTTTTTAAAAGGTCATTCAATCGTGTTATCTGCTCTTTGCATGTATCCAGCTCTTAAATGGGCACAGTGTGACTGCAGAGGGTGAAAAGGCAGAAGCAATCCATCAACAAGTCTTAATAGAAAACTAGAAGTTGGATGGTGAGGCAGGGAGAAGGCTGGGGGAGGAGGCTGGGGGAGGAGGCTGGGGGAGGAGGATAAAGTTACTAAAACTGGAGAAAAACAGTCTCATAGTGTCCCTCCTGACCTTGGGGGTCTTCCTACGTGAGGCCTCAGTGCTCTCCTCCTCCTCGTGCTCCTTGGCTCCCTGGGTGATGTTGGTGTAGTTGACCAAGCGGCTGAGCAGAGAGGAAACCTTTGGCCGGATGTCCAGCTCTTCCTGAAGAAACAAGCAGGACAAAAGTTTTAATAATGAGTTTGGTTTTGGTCTGCTGTCAGACAGAAATATTGGACAGTAAAAGTAACAGACCTCAAACAACGCCAGGTTCCTGTCATAGAAATCATTCCTCTTGCTCGCAGCATCTCCGCTGTTGAGAAATGGACTGTCTTCTTTATGACTCCCATGTCCTGTTGCAGAGAGGAATAAAATACTTAAGGGTAAGAAAAACAAATACGTTCTCTGGCAAAACAACAGTTTGAGCTTTAAGACCAAACAAATAGATATTTCCCAGCCAATAAACCAGACAGACATGGTTCTTAAAGACATTATGGAGACATCTTGATAACACGCAAGTGCTGCATCAAGTGCTGCATCAAGTCAATGTGCATCATGTTACAATAACAGCCAGACTTTAATGGTAAGTATTGCTGCTTCAGAGGCCTCTCTAACATTTATTCATCCATTACAACACCTATCCTTTGAGGGACCACACTGGAGAAGTCGCCAACGCATCACAGGGTCAACATAGAGGGACATTAACACTCACATTCACTATAGGGGGAAGGATTTGAGCTAGAGGTGACAGTGGTGTGTACTGTCCCACCATGCCACCCCTCAACAGGAAACAGGAAAAAGTTGGGGTGAGAGGGATGCTGACTTCATTTTGTATTATATAATTTATTAAAAGAGGCAATCCTCTCCTTAAAACTTGAACTGATAACAATTTGGCAAAAAGGTCCACAATATCATCCACCTGTAGTATTTGGTAAAATCATGTCCCAAATAAATTACAGCGTCAAAGATTTGGAACAAATTTAAAAAAGCCACTTAATTTATAGAAAAATATCTATGTAATCAAACCAAACATGCAGCTTTACTATGATAAAATCAGCACTTTTGCAAACTAATTAATAAAAACAAAGTCAACAGGGACAATACAACTCCAGTTGTTCCCTGGCAAATTCTTTTCAATGTTCAATCAGCTTTTAATTGTTAGTGTTAATCATAAATGAACACACAGCGAAGCTGCAGTGAAAGGCCAAAAACAAACCAAAGCAGAGTTCAGGTGATAAACAAACATAATTAGATTCTACTCCCATTAACTTCTGCTTTGAAAGAAAAGAACCAATCATGCTGACATGAGAACAGTGCCTAGTGAAATCATTGCACGCAAACTTTAAAACTCACATTCACAGCCACGCACAAACCCGATTACCTTGAAATGACCTAGCCTTGGTTTATTGGAGCATATTAACTTCAACAGTGGCATCTCGAAAAGCCAAATTAATCCTGCAACAAAAACTCTGCCAGTTTACCGATTGGGCATGAAGCAGAAACATATTCTCAAATGTGGTGAAAATAAACCTATTTACTGTCAGTGACTGGGTTGAGCTTCAGCGTCAGTCTTCACTCACCTGTGCTGTGCGTCTTGCTGCAGCAGGTATCACTGTGGCTCAGCATAGCTACAGTATGCTCTGTGTGCCGACTACAACAGAGCAACTCTGTGCTCCAGTCTGGCCAAACTGTCGATTACTATCCAGGACACCCAGTCACCCAGGGTGAGCACTCATTCAGGGGCCTGATCTAACACATGGTGTGGTGAGGGGGGGTGGAGAGTGGAGGGTACAGTGCTAATTTACACACACACACACACACGTGATTTTGTTATTAGAGCCATGGGTTGGGTTGACGGTATCTCACAGAGGTGCAGTGTCTGTATTCCTTCATGGTGCAGTCTGCATGTTTAGTCTGGATATATCTGGATGTAGCACTGGCAAACTGAATGTTGCTTTAAGCAAAACAATTATATTAACTTTTGTATGATTGTAGGTAACATAATGATGTTTAATGTCTTTATGTCTTCATCACTGAGGGAAGCATGTGTTTCAAAAAATGTTAGGATGCAAAAAGCTCAGAATCAAAGGGTATCGAGTTAAAAAGCTACTTTAAATCTTTAACATCTCTTTTTTTAATAAAAAAGGTGATCAGTAGGAACTTGGAGGCTAAACTGATTATTTGTCTTTCCAAACCCTGACAAATAACACAGCTGGAGATTAGCAATGTCCGGGAAGATAAATAATGTCAACACTGTCCTCTGGTGTCATTTTGCCATCAGCGGAGTGGGATAAAAATGCAACATCTGTATTTGAAGCAACAATGAAGGGAGACTAACATAGACGAGAGAGAGGCACTGATTTATAGACAGAGACAACAGAGATCTTTATATATCTATTCTATTCAGATGGATGTTGTGAGAAATTCTCTACTGACAGCTGACAGGAACTATAACTCAATCACTGCTGCCTCAAACCCAGTTTCGTTTCCAACTTACCTTCGAAACTAATAAACTTCACATCAGAGTGGGCTGAGGAGACGGTGGGGGTCTGCTGTTAATAACCTCACATTAAATGTCTAATTAAAAAGATGGAAGATTAGCTGGCCTGTTATGGAGGCAGGCAAGAGTCGTGCTGTGAGCACAGAACAGCAGCGAGGCTTTGCAGCGACGTGTCCCATCACGTGCGTGCCTGTACCAAAACAGCCACAAGATCAAAGACAGTGTCTCACAATCGCTTTTACAGGAGGGTGTGTACGGCTTTTACTTTTGCAGACTTTACCTACATTAGTGTGGGTATGAGCATTTAAGAATTAAGTATATACAGTATATTTAAACTCATCATCATGGCACAGATTTTGTTTAGGTTTCTGTAGCTAAATCTGTGTTTCATTCAAAACAACTCACACTTGTAAAGTTACTGTTATTTTCAGTGAGGTCTGAACAGTCGAGAAAAGAAGAGCATGTGATGCCAAGCGAATAACTATCCAGATTGTGGATGTGAATACACAAATCTGGGCAAGATTTGGGGGCCGGAAGCCTTCTTGTTTCTGTTTGTAGTTTGACCTTGAGCAGGTAAACAATCCCACACTATAAATACAGCAAACCATCATAGATTTGTCTACCACCTTTAAATTCTAGCCTTAGTCCAACATCAAATAAAACAAAACTCCACAGCAAATGTTGAAGTTGTTAAAGTTTGCCTGTGTGTGTTACTTGTTAGGATATAATATATTTCTAAATGGATCAATTACCTGTGAAGATGCTGGGCTGTCAAGTCTATTCAAAGTGCGAAGTTCATGACTTGACAGAACAAAAACAAATTTCTCAGGTCAAAGCTACAAAGACTAAATCATTATGATTCATGATGTGTCATAGGTCCAACAAACAACTTCCAGAAATCAGCTCCTGCAGCAACAGGTCATGAAGTTCACTCGGTGTAGATTGCAGTATACTTGGCTTAGATGTTTGGAGCATTCAAGAGTATATTTTCCAAATGAAGATCTAAAAAAGCTAAACATTCACGAGAAAAGAAACTTGACCCTAAAGTGTCTGCACTTTTCAAAGCCGATTAGACATGGAAAACAATATCGCTGTCCATTAAGTGCACAGGGTTTTAGAAAGCCTCTAAACTTCCTCTTTAATAAACATTTAAGACTTAATACTGTGGTTGAGAAGTTGTGCGGCTTAGCTCTCTCTGCTGTGCAGTTAGTCGACAGGAATGTTGGAGTGAATGCTGGTGTTTGGACGTGGTGTGTGCATCTCTATGTGTGTGTGGTCTTGGTATTTGTCATGTTGTGGAGACCTAAATGTGTTTACATGCTTACATTACGGGGACTTGTGTGTATGGAGACAAAAATCAATTTTACATAAAAAAGGTCATTAAGATTAAGGTGAGGATGTGTTTAATGGTTAGGCAATGATTAACTATAGTTAAGGTTAGTGATAAGATATGAATTGTGGTTAGGGTTGGGTAAAATATAGTCATGGTTAACATTAGGAATAAGGTTTTGGTAAGGCTGTGTGTGTATGTGTGAGAGGTAGAGACAGTGAAAGAGACTATATGTACGTATCCTCTGCTACTCCCTGGCCTGTGGCAATGAGCAGTTTAATTTAGTGACAGCAATAGGCCGGTGTTAGCTGTAGTGGTCATCTTTCATGCAGGGAGGCATCAGAGCGGAGCAGCGAGATGCTAACCTGCTGAGCCGTGCAGCAAAACATATTAGCTTTGATGTGCGCTAATGATGAGAAAAGGACGGCAGCTCAGTCTGATTACCTAAGGGGGTGAAGGTGAGTGGAAAGATGTGATCGTGCAACAGACTTTCAGAAAAACACAAATTAACTAAATGTCAAAGGGTGTAACACTAATGACTGAATGAACTGAAATTGTGGTTTGTACATTAGAATTTATCTGCAAAACTGTAGGGTACAGATGCACTGAATGATTGTGGACAGATGTGTGTGCATGTATCAAGTTTAGGTGCTACACAACAAATTGCGTTGTACAAATCTGTGCAATGACAATAAAGCTTTCTAATTCTAAAAGTGTGTCTCGCTATAGAAACACAAAACTACTACATTCAAATGCTACAATTTCCAACAGTCTTCACCCCAATATATTCTGTTACATTCTTGTTAACAAGTGTCAGAAAATGTCAATTTTGTCAAAACGTTTTCACCATGGGCCCAAGTAATAGTATAGTAATAATAGTAATAATCACATATGCTTGTACATTACAAGTATTTATGTTTACCCATGTTTTGCTGTGTTTGCAGTGTATTGACCTCTGTGTAGTGTCTGGCAGTGAAGAAGAACCTGCTAGACCCAAGACACTGAATATACCCTATTGCTTGGCTTTCCTCAGGAATAGAACAGGAGTACTACATTGGAACAAAACAAAGTCTGAGCTGCTCTCTTTGCCTTAACTCATTTTTATGGGAATGATCAGAATAGATGGCAGATGATTGGATATCAAATTGTCTGCAGTTATATTTACAGAAAATTAACTACTGTAAATGTATTACTATTAAGGGTTGAATGTGTGTGTGTGTGTATATGTTTGTGTATGTTTGTCTGCTGCTATCAGAACTTGTTACAACCCCATCATCGCCTCCACATTTCTGCCGCACCACAGAGTTTATCTGTTATCCGTGTGGCATGCCAGACAGCAGGACAGGAATGGCCACCCTGAATTAGAGAGAAAAATGCTAAGCAGCATTCTCTAAATCCTCCACCCATTACACAAGGTCCTCCGCACCTGTTTGGTTTAAGGTCAGTACAAAAGACATGTTTTAAGTGGTGTTCTATTGCTGCTGTATTGTGTTCATTACAATAAAAAATGGAATATGACTAGTCATTTAATATCAGGATCCAGTTGTCCCTTGTAAGAAGCAAACCTCAGCTCAAATAGTCCCACTGTAACTGTCCAGCAACAAATGGCACTCAAACAAAGTTAGCTAGTAGCTTGTAATCGCAGAGCAGCTTTCAGCAGCTAAAGATCCAGGTGTTATTTTCCACAGCTGGTGGAGACCAAAGCAGAGACGCAATGAAGCAAGAAACAAGCTGGGTGTGGAAGAACTAACTGTTTGATTATACATTCCCTATAACAACTTTATTAAAAGGACCAGTGAGTAATATTTAGTGGCTTCTAGTGAAGTTGCATATTACAACCAACTAAAAACTCATTGCTTGACCCTCCTCCTCCAGGCATGTAAGAAAATCATCATGTAACATAAACATGCAAAGGACACTGTCTACAGCCATTACACTTTGTCCCTTCTGGGCTACTGTAGAAACATGGCAGTGCAACATGGCAGACTCTATGGAAGAGGATTGGTTACAGAGGTAAATAAAAAGAGCTCACTCCAAGACAACGAAGGCAAAATCATTCTTGGTTTCAGGTAATTATACACTAATCAGAATATGTTATTATTATAGTGTACTCAACTTCTGCCAATAGATTCCCCTGAATCCTACACCCTGGACCTGAAAGATGTCAATGTTGTGTTTACAGCTTGTTCCTGTAGACACAAAATTAATGAATGCAGATTCAAAACACACAAAATCTCATTAAGTTCATGAAAGATTCATTTAATATTGTTATTGTGTAATATCTATGTTTGTTTTTAGGTATCAGGAATACACTAGAACCCCAAAGGTTACTAGAAAATATACAGGGCTGGATATGTGTGGGTTATATTATACAGGTTTAGTTTATTTATTTTTTGGACATTGGTTGGCTTGTCTGGACTAAATAGCAGTAAAGGAGAGAAAATATGGTCTGTTACTCACTTTTCCTCAAAGATTTTTGAAACCCTCATAAATCTTAGACAATGGCATAAAAATAGTAGGATTTTACAATTGGCCAGGCAAGACATCATGTAAACTGATGATCTTTAAAACAGGCTGCTATACTTGCCACAAAACTCCACAAATGTCAATTACTTTCAAATCATACTTTCTGAAAAATGAAAAAAAAGTTGGAGCACATGAACAGAAAGGTGCAGGTTGTTTCAGGGTGGTTGCTCTTGCTCAGGAGTGCAGAGCTCCTTCAATGACCACAGTGTTCAGTCTGGTCCTGTGCTGAACAGAGCTGAGTTCACAGCCTGAGACAGACTCTGCTCTGTGTCATTTCCTCCATATTGCAAACGTCACGCTTTTGCTTCAACACACACACATGTACCACGCTCACAAACCCACCACTCCCATGATGAAATCATCAAGGACACGCACCCACTTTTAGACTATTACCACTGGGACTACTTTCCCACCCAACCTTTTCCCCCTTGTTACCACCCCTGACATTGCTTGTAAATGCAATCAACTACCAGTTTAGTCTCTGAAAAATAATGGAAACCAACCCTGTGGACTCTCCACATTCATCACAGACTTGTTTCTTCCTTCACCTCCCAATGTCCAACATATGCTCATCCTTGTAACTGTCCACTAAATGTATTGGTTGTTGTTTTCGGACTACAGGAAGTGCTCCTCGGGTGGGATGGAGCGAGTTGTGAAAGCAGGAAGACAGGGAAGAGAGCACCAGCAGCAGGCCTGTAGGAAAAACTCACCCAGAAAACTTGCAGGGTTATTTTAGGACATCTGTTTTTCTCCCTCTGTCATCAAAGCCTTTTAAAGGGATATAGTCCAAAGTTCTGCTCCAACCACATGTGAGCCACTGTACTTTTAAACACTTCTGCTTGTTCGATCTCTGAAGGGTTTTAACTCTGTGTGTTTCTAATGTTGAAAATGTCATTCAGCTCTTAAGGCTGACATGCATGCATTCCAGAAATATACAAGCCAACAGCTAGGTCAACATGTGCTGAGATTCCTTCTTTGTTATGCTTCAAATATCAGCTCTCTTAAGCCCAGTGGCTCCTTGAAGCACAGATCGTTGGACAGTTTTTCTGTAAATTGATGCTCTCATATATAAATAAAGTGGCAAAGTCGATGTGAGAACACAGCAGGGGATCCCCCGCTGGATTTACTGCAAGATGTAAAATTAAAAAACAAATGTCTCTTGGTGAAAAAGTGGTGACATATGTAGAGGACGCAGACAAAGATGTTGAATAAGCTTGTGGTGATGAGATGTCTGAAAACGGCTCTAGATAAGTCTTTAATCGTGAACTTAGGTGCTTTCTGATGTTATTCAGTAGTAGGGAGCGAAGACTGCTAGACTGTTTGTAATGTTTAAATGAACGGCCTTTCAGTTTGTAGCTTTGTTACCAGCCCAGCCTTCTGTTTGCCTGCTTAAGCGTGGGCGCTTCTTTTGAAGACCACGCCTATGCAAGTCTTTAAAAAAAAAAAAAAAAAGAGAGAGAAGTTACTTATAAAAACAACTCCCAACTTGGTTCCCTTGCTCAGCCCACACAAATCAGTGCTGCGTGCCCTCACATAATCCAACCCGGTGGCTCCAAAACTCGCTCCTCTCCTCGTTTGCCCTCCGTCCTCTTTCCGATCTCTCTTTTTTTTTCTTGCACTGATACAGTGGAGACACAAGAGAGTGACACTGTGAAGCAAGCACAGGCAGAGGAGTGAGGAGGGACAGATCTGCTCCTGTGTTATTGAGCGGCCAATCTTCTGTGAAAAGAAATCCACCCCTGGCACAAAAGAGAGCTCCATCTTTTGTTGCGAGAAACCACTTGAGGCCCTTTTTCTAGTTGCAACGGTGGCGTGACCCCCTCCCTTACCCAACCCCAAAACCCCCGTTGTGTCTCTCCCACATGGTTCTCACACTTTTCTTTGTTTTCACTTTCTGTCCAACAGTTTATTTTTCAAGGCTTAGGAAGAAAAGAAAACACCTTCAAAACCATTAAAAAGTGCTGTACCTCAAGTGAGCTGTCAAAAACAGACCTGTCTGCTGTGGGAAAACTGCTTCTGGCCCTGAGGGATTGCCATGGTAACCATACAACCAGCTGTTCAGGAGGCTCTCAGGACAAAGAAAAGCCTCTCCATGCTGTGTTGGGTACAACTCATGAACTAGCACTTTAAGAACATATTCTTCCAGCTTCAGCACTTTCCACGTGAGTCACTTTGAGTTAAGAGATGAAATTTGAAGTTGTGGGACTCACCATCAGAGCTGACAGTATCTTGATGATCATGGTTTTCCTGCCCAGTGTCCCTGTAATCCACCCAGTTGATCCCCTCCAGGCTGTCGTAGTTGGACTGAGCCTGGTCCTTCACTGGCACCACAGTGAAGTGAGGCATGTTTTCATCACTCTCCTCTGTGTCCCCAGCTCACACTCAACATAGCAGGCTAGCTGTTAGCCCGCTGAAGCTCAACTCCCACTAATGGCAACTACATTCCACTACACTGCGCTCACTTCCTCTGAAGAGTATTATCATATTCCCCACCCACAGGCCAGCCCCTCCTGGGCGGCTGTTTAGTGTGTGTGTGAACAGGATGGGCACAGAGGTCTCTGGGAGTCTTCTGGAAAGAAAGACACACACACGCTTCTATGTAAGTGAGACATAATACAGACCCTAGCTCCTTACCCTAACCATCCAAAATAAATGCCCAACTCAAACCTTAAAACCAAGTCTAACCCTCAAACAGTCCATTGAAAAAGTTAGTACTGAGCAAATTGTCCTCACATTCCAAAAATGTCCTTACTCTGTAAGGTCTATGCTTAAATAGGTCCTCACAAAGATATAAATGCAGGAACACACATACTCCTGTGAACTGTGGATGCAGAGTTTGAGTCATGCACAGCGAGAGGGTTGGAGAGTGCATGGTGACCCCCCTCTCTGATGTCTGTGTCACACTGACAGTCACTGAGTAAAGCTCATTTGTTCAAGGTTCACACAGACAGTCTTCTGTGAGTGTGAACATTTGCCAATACACACACACAGAGCAACGTGTCAGTTTGGGGAAAAAAATCCAATTACCTTGGAGAAGAGGAAATAAAGGGGATGTAAAGACTCTGACCTCGTTATCAATCACAGCTTTTTCAACATTTGCCTTGTCATCCATTAAATGACAGTAAATGGATGTTAAGTGAAAGCTGTTGAAGCTGTGAAGAAGCAGCAGTGAATGACAGCAACATCACTCTCAGAGGGTGACGTTGACCCTCCTCTTTCCAGGAACAGTAGCTACACTCAAACCATTAAAGCAGCAGATTAAAGGCTACGTCAAAAGGCTGTTATTAGGTGTCCTGTTTGAGGCTGACATGCTGCTACTGCCCTTTTTGGATTGATGAGACTGTGTAAACTAATATATGGGTTTTTCCTTTGTTTTAGAAATGCCTATTTGAAATATGACATTGGAAAATAATTATCCACTTCTTTTCCTTGTCTGTTTTGTTCATGGTGGGACAGGAACATAAGCACATTATGAATTTAATTTGGTTGCGCTTTTACGGCCCTGATCCACGATAAATAAAAGGCATCGTCTTTTTCTTCTATTCTCTTCAAACAGATTGTTTTGCTGGTTGAGCAAAGACGCGAGATGCCATCAACCAAAGAAGGTTATTTCCTAGATTGATGAACTCATGCAGCGCTGAGTGCGAGTGAGGGTCAGTGAGCAGCAGGCAGGCCGAGGCTGACACACCCCTTTCTTCCACCACAATGACTCAGTTTTGTGGAGAGGCATGTAAGCAGGAGGGGCAGGCCCCAGGAAACATGAGGCCCACATGGGGCAGCTTGTTTACAGCACAGAGAGACGACTGATAGTAAAAGGCAATGTGAGGTGAAAAAGTACTATAAAGGCTCTCACAGTGATCCTGGTTCTAACACTTCCAAGACTGAGGTCACAGATGGCATCAGTGGTGGCCGGCCAATAGAGGGTGCTATGGCGCTGCCCCACCACTCACCACATTACCCTTGAATAAGACATAAAACATTTAAATAAAAATGAAATYATAAAATAAAAATATTTTGAAATATATGTATATATTTTTTTAGATGTCTAATGAAGTTTGAAGCAAGTTCACAATCAGAATCAGAAATACTTTATTAATCCCCGTAGGGAAATTCAAACTTTAACTAGCTTTAGTAAAGGGTTGTGTTGTCATTTGATTGTAATTTTAATAAGTTGATATTAATAAGCTGCATGTGTAAGTTGCATGTGATACAGACTCGTAGAACCATCATTACTATTACAACCTCTTTTTTTAGCCTGTTATGGAATTCACAGTGAATTAGACTCAGTGCAGATGTGTAATTATATAACAGTTTAGATCTGATTATAATCTCCACACACCACTGTTGTAAACAGTGCTCATATTTATTATATATTTATCTGTTTTAACACTGAGAGAAGTTGAGGGACTTGATGTGGAAGGACCTGCCTCAGCGACTCAGCATCACCGAAGAACCATTCCACTGGGTCCTACTATTTCCTGCTCAATTGCCAATTACTCTCAGGAAATTCAATGACTTGCAGGCAATGAAACCAGTACTACCAAGAGTGGCCCACCAGTACTACGACAACCTCCCTCATCAACAGACAGTGTGAAAATGAGTTCACACAGCACATGAGTGGGACTTTGGTTAAGGATAGACAAGTGTAGCAACACTCATGCTACACTTGTCATGCTATCTTTGTATTATTATCTTTGAGAAAAATTGCCTAACTCAAGGCATATTCCGCCTAAGTCACTTTTATTTGTTATGAAATTGACATTGTGACTTATTTATTTATTTGCAAACTTTTTCACATGTGGTTGAAGTTACTGTTTCAAAATAAATTAAAAATACCATACATGTGCTTGATAAAAAATTTGATTTTTCTTGTTTTCCAAAAACTTTCAAATATGACTTGGGCAACTATGCTATTAGGCTAACGTTATGGTACTTTGAATGTGCTGTAACTGACATATACTTATTTCAGTTATTATGTACTACTGTTGGAAATGTAATTATTTCTTCTTTGGGGAACAAATTGTTGTCTCGAAAGCTGGAAGATGTTTGAACTCAGGMCCTCACAGAACATTAACCTGAGGCCATTTCCTGTCTCATCGAGTAAGGCCTCTCCTTCAGTGTGTGTTTGCGTGTTGAATTTGCAGAAAGAGACAATATTCTATAGTTTTAATATTTTGTAAAAAGTCTTGAAGTGATTATATGATATGAGCCATATTTGTGTTTTTTATACTGTTCAATTCAAATTCAGATCAATTAAATTCCTTCACACTGTTTTGGCATTGATGTTTCAGCCCATGTTACATGACAAAACAGACAGTCCTCTAATCACATTTAGACCTCTGGATTCTAGATCAAAGTCAATTGCCTCACATATAAAGATTAAGATCCGTTTTTATTAAGATTCCTTTTTTATTAAGGAGAAACAATTCTCAGCAGAATCAGACTCTACCACCATTAGTAGATGACAGCTGCACGAGAATCTTTTCTCTAACAACTTTGTTAAACTGTCACAGATTGACAGTCAGTAGACCAGCACTTCACAGAAAAAATACTTTGAAAGAACTTTGTTCCACTGGATTACCTACGTTCATCAAACATGGAGAAGATCAACTGCTCAGGAAACAAAGTAAGTTTTGTTCTTAGCAGGAAAGACTTCAGGTTAAACTGTATTTAGTTTTATCCACAAAACACAATTGTCATTTCTTTCTTCATCTTACTTTACTGTAGTTTTACAGACTTCAAAAGCAGACGTGTGTAAATGACAAAAAATCATTCAAGCTCTGTATTTTTGAATATTTCGGAAGTTAGTGTGTTTTGTGTTTTTACCTGTTATATGTATATTTGTGTCTTTCAATCTTTTGAACAAATGCAGTCTTATGATACTGCCCAACATAATGGGTGCAGCGTTATCAAAATGCTGCAGGCCCTCTGCCAAGCCCTGCTGGACTCAAAGAGGGAGAACAAGGAGCTCGCTGCTGAGAATGCAGCTATAAAGGAGCAGGCAGCAGAGATAACTGCTCTCGCTGCAAAAAATGCTGCATTAAAGAAACTGGCTGCGGAGAAGCAGGCAGCTATGAAGGAGCAGGCAGCAAAAATAACTGCTCTGAAAAAGCAGGCTGCACAGAACTCTGCTCTGGCTGCAGAAAATGCTGCATTACAGAAGCTGGCTGCGGAGAAGCAGGCAGGTATGAAGGAGCAGGCGGCAGAGGTAACTGCTCTGAGGAAGGAAGCAGCACAGAACACTGCTCTGGTTGCAGAAAACGCTGCATTACAGAAGCTGAGTGCGGAGAAGCTGGCAGCTATGAAGGAGCAGGCGGCAGAGGTAACTGCTCTGAGGAAGGAGGCAGCACAGAACACTGCTGCAGCTGCAATACAGTCTGCTCTGAAGAGGCAGCTGACTGTTGGGAGTGCTGCTCTGAATAAAACCCTAGACTCTTCTGTCTCACAGCTGTGTCAGGTCAAAGACGACTTCGCCAACATGATGGAAGAGTTGGAGAAGGAGGTCAAAGATTTTCAGCTCCAGCACGTGGAGAAGCAGAAAGTGGAAAGTCAATGGAAGGTGAAATTCCAAGCTCTGCAGAAGAACTGTGAGGAGCGGCTGAGGTGCAGAGTCCTGGAACAGGAGGCCAGCTTCCAGGAGAAGGACAAGAAGCAACTGAAGAAGATACAGAAGAAGAAGGCAAAGGAGGAGAGAGAAGGGACAGAGAGAAGGAACATGTTCAGTTTTCTCTTTCCATTCTGGCACTCGTTCTAATCTCATCTCATCTTTCCTCTACCTCAACCATCCCCTCATCCTGACTCCACCTTCCGCCTAAGTCACTTTTATTTGTTATGAAATTGATGTGACTTATTTTATTTGCAAACTTGTTCACACATGTGGTTGAAGTTACTGTTTCAAAATCAATTAAAAATAGCAATGTGCTTGATAAAAAATGTGATTTTTCTTATTTTACAAAAACGTTCAAATATGACTCAGGCAACTATGCTATTAGGCTAACAATATGATGCACATCGTTGCAGAGCATACACAAATCTTTAGCTAGGCAGCTACATGTTCCACAATCCCTCCCCTTGATGCTTGTAGTATTTTTAATTTTTATATTTAATTCTTTGTTTCCTATTTTTATATTTTCTATATTWATACTTGCACAAATACACCACAGCAAATTCCTTGTATGTGTAAACCTGCTTGGCAATAAAACCAGATTCTGATTTATGACAAACAGCAAGTTAGCACTGAATACTTGAAGGCCACAGGGTTTAGTGGAACTAGACCGTCTCCTATGGCGATATTTGTAAATACACAACATGACTGACCCCGAGGGTGTTTGTTTGTATCAGGTTAA